GGAAATGTAGCTGGTTTTCAGTTATTGCCGTGTACTACCCCCAAAACTTAGTAGAATTAATACAAAAATGATTTATAATTTCTTATTATTTTGTGGAATTAAGAATTCTGAAAAGATTCTGTGGGGGATTTCTTTTGTTACTCCTGGCATAAACTGGGATCACTTCCTCAGCTACATTTAACTGGTAGCCAGACTGGGCTGAATAGTCCAAGAAAACTTCACTTAAACATCTGGCTCCCTGATTCTCCTTTACATGATATCTTTCTCTGCATGGGGCTAGCTTGGTGGTCCTCACAGTGTGGTGATCTCAGGGTAGTCAGATTTCGTATATGGCAGGTGGCTTCCAAGACACAGGAAACAGAGGCTCCCGGTCAGCTGAGACTGACACAGCATCACTTCTGCCACATTCTATTGATCAAAGCAAACAACAAAGCCAGCTTTGTTTCAAGGAGGAGAGGACATAAATACTGCCTCTTGATCTGAGGAATGACATGCATGTACAGAGAAGAAAGAAATCAATGGTAGCCATCTTTGGAAATTATCTGCTATAATGATCAATAACCATGAAAATAAAAACCCTCCAACTCACCCTCCTATATTAGCCAAAATAATATTTTTTATTTCAGCATATTATGGGGGTACAAATGTTTAGGTTATGTATGTTGCCCTTGCCCCCTCCCTGAGTCAGAGCTTCAAGTGTGTCCATCTCCCACATGGAGTGCAATTAAAACAGCTTGGGACTGGCACAAGAACAGGGACATTGACCAGTGGAACAGAACTGAGAACCCAGATATAAAACCTCATATAGCCATCTAATCTTTGACAAAGCAGACAAAAACATACACTGGGGAAAAGAATCCTTATTCAAAATAAATTTTTAATGAATTGCCTTGTTATTTGGGGTTTACCACATTGAGAAAGATTTTATAAAATACTATATCCAATGTAGTATCAATTGACATTTTAAAACTGTTGGTGAGAGTTTAACCTGGAACAAGTTTTCTGGGAGAAGGTTTGACAATAATTATTAAAAACTTTCCAAAGATACTTACATGCTTTGACTAGAAATTGATACTACGGAATGTATATATTAATATTAAGATGTTTACTATATTGCTAATAGTGAATGACAGTATATTTTTAAAATCTAACAATGAGAGATTGTCAAATCTGCACTGCCCAATATGGTAGTCTCTAGTCATATATGGATGTTCAAATTTAATTGAAAGTTAATTAAAATGAACTAAAACTAAAAGTTCAGGTCTTAAGTCATACTAACCAAATTGCAAGTGCTCATTAGCCATGTATGGCTAGTGGTTACCTTATTGAGCAGAGAATATTATAGAGTACTCCCATCATTGCAGAATGTTTTCATGAGCACCACTGGGCAAATGACCATCATTGGAAACACTTATGGGCTTACTGAGTTACATGTTGCAGGACTCCGCCCCCAAAATTCTAATTTTAGGTCTGGTGTGTGTGATTTGGGGATATGAATTTTTACACTCATATACACTGAGGCATGAGATGGTGCATTTCATACAAATGCTAACAATATATGATTTAATCTGACTTGTGCAAATGGTAAATAAAAAAAGATGAGATGGGTGTGATTGGTTTTCAGTTAGTCTTATGGAAAACTCTAAATGCTTGATTGAGTAGCTCACACATTATTTGGTAGGCAATGGGTAGGGCTGCATATATGTGAGCACAGAAGTGGCATATTCAAGAATGGGGAGATGAATTTGGGAATAGTAGGTAGCAGGAATGGCGGGGGAGGAGCTGAAGGTGGACAGGCTAACTAGGAAACTATTATTACATACCTTATTCAGGAAGAGGGAAAAATGAGATCTTGAACTAATCAGGACAATACCAATGGAAATTGGGAGGTACATGGTAGAGATTCTTTAGAGGGAAAAATCTGAGACTTGGAAACTAAAATGAAATGTGGAACAGATCAGGGGTCTCTATTTCAAGGAGCTTTTCAAGATAGAAATAAAAGCTCAATAATAAAGTATTTTAAAAATAAATAATTGCCATTTTTAAAGAAAAAAGTCTGGAAGGCAAATTATTTATTACAGTAAAATTGTTCTAATTTTTAAAAATTAAGTTTCAAGGAGGCAGAGTTACTGGGTGATTGGCCATGGCTTTCGTTATCATGAGATTTTAGTCACTTAAGGAATAAGCTCACATTGTACAATGTTGAGTTTTTTTCTGGTGGTTGTATTAATACAAAACAAAATAGATACTCATATAGGGAAGGATTTAGATGAATGGTCTAAAGATAATCATGAATAAAATACTTAATATCATGTCAATCAAGTTTTCTGAATTCTTACCCTTAGAAGCTTTCAGTAGTTTCTTCCTAGCATAATTAATATTATCTCTGTGTTTATAAAAAAACCACAAGCTTATATTTTATATACCTTTGCTACCTTTTATTAAAACATAATAGTTTAATGAGTTAATAATTAACAAGAGAACTTACAGAATGAATACATGCACTTGGTTTCATTAAAGCTCTTTATAAATGTGTAGCAACTGATATCTAATAAGGGATAGAAATATGAAAAGAAAATTATATTTCATAGGTAATGATGGAGAACATTTAAAATATCCTTGATCATTAAGCAACTTTTGATGATAAAAATTTTAAAATGGTGATATTTTTCCTAACAAAAATACACAATAGTACATTTGGTTACATAACCATATTAGTCTCTTGTCTAAATTTCTTAAAAAGTATGTTGTCAAGACTGTCATTTAGTGGTGATAAAATGTATATTGATTATCCACAATATGCTGTTGCAGTTTGTACATACATTGCACAGAATAGGAACTGTGACTTGAATCATTGTATTTAGCTCTTCTTTAAATATACACACACAAAATCTCATATTCTCACATACACATATATTTTACATATATATTTATAATGATATGCCGTAGAAATAATATTTTACTAGATTACATGCAGTTAGCTATTTGTGATGTATATAAAATACTTATAAAGACCATGGTTATGTTTTTATGTAGAACACACAGCTAATTTAGAAACATGTTGGTCACTTTTACCATTGTATTTATTTTATTGTGTGTGTTCATATAATAAATGTGCATCTTGTTATATACTATAGATTTTATTGTATATTGCACATAGCAATTTCAAACTGTTGTATTGTGCTTATTATTTACCTGACATTGTTCTAACTACTTTAAATATATTATACACACTCAATCCTCATTTAACACTACGAGGTTGGCATTATAATTATTCCCATTGCAAGGATGAAGAAACTGAGACACAGAAAGATTAGGTAACTTGCTTCAGATAACACACTTAATAAGTGGCAGAGCACGGACCTGAATCCAGGAAGTCTGGCTTCTAAGAATGTCCTTTAAAACATTATGATATAATAGACACTGCATATAGTGTATGTAATGGGTATCTATTAATATGTATGTACTTATGTATGATAAACACTGGTAACATTGAAGTCCACTTTGAAGTCTCTTGTTTTTTTCTCCTATATATATTTTTTTCAGATACACTGGGTTTTCTTAGCATTTAGAATTGAAGAAAACATAATGTACTGAGAAAGAGAGGGCACGCCACCAGGAGAAGTCTGTATGGCTGATTGCCCAGAGGTCTCACAGGGTGGCATTTCCTTGCTGAATTAATGAAGCGCTAGTGCCACTCAGTACACCCAGACATGATCAGACCTTTGATAAAGGAAGGGCACCAAAACCCAGTGGGCCTGACTTAGGGATCAGAATGCCAATCTATTAGTCTACCAGAACACTCACGTCCCCTAATCATAGCAACTTTGTGCTGTTTAAATAAGCTGTTTCCTTTAGCCTGGGTGACTTCATATGAATCCCAGTTCTGGCGTATAATAATGGGAGAGATTGCTTAGTTTCTCTGTGCCTCAGTTTCTTCATCTGTAAAAGTAAACGAATACTGGTATCTAACTCCTGGGTTATGGTAAACATTAAATGAGTAAACAAATATAAAAAGCAGTGTCTGCAACATAAAGAGCAGCACTACTACTGCTGCTAATTATTATATTAGTATTAATTATTAGTGGTGAACTTTCAGATCAAATATTTACAAATAAGAGTCAAATCTGGTGATTTTGGTTAAACATTTACATTCTAACCAGGTTTCTCGGTTTTTCCTGCTTGTATAAACACACTATTAGTTCAAAAATCAGTTTTTCAAAAGGAGTTTGCATCAATGAACTGTCTGCAGCACAATACTGTAGATTTGGTTTAAGTTAATATTTGACAGGTTTTGATGAATTGGTCATTTGGCAAACGGGCCTTTTGGTAATTTATCCATTTTGTGAACTGACATTTAGTAAATGGATCCTGCACAATTTTAACTAGAACTCCTTTTTGGGGTTGCAGTGCAATTTATATTCACTTGGAAGAAAAGAAAGGGTGTACTAAGAGTCCTTGCTCTCCCTCACACGTGGACTTTGAGTCTAGACATGTGAGTTTGGCTATTATTAGAATCTATCCTGTTTGCCAATGAAAATTTTTTATGACATCTTTCTTACTGCATTCTAAGATTTTTGCCTGTAACATTTTATTAGGTCCTTTAGTTTTTAATCAAAACTTTTCATATTATGTTTTTAATCAAAACTCTTTATGTGATGTTTTATGATTGACTCTTTCAGGAGGTATTTACTATAAAAAATCAATTCTTTCATTATTCAGGCTAATTCCCAAACTACATTCTCCCTAAACATTATTTCACCTTTAAAATCTGTGTGTATATAGATACGTTGATTGAATATTCACAAGTCTTAAAATCTTTTGAAGGGAGAAATTATTTCATTATTTGTTATTCCAAGCATCTGTTGGTGTGTAACATGTTTTCCTGAGTTCTGCAAAAGCTTGCTTACTGGCTAAACTCCAATTAACCCTATAAATAAAATAGTCATTATTTGAATGTATTCTATTTTATGATGATGATATTTTAAAACCATTTTCAGGATGAAAGTTCAATAGAAAGTGATGAATTTGATATGAGTGATTCAACACGGATGTCAGCTGTGAACTCTGATCTTAGCTCCAATCTTGAGGAAAGAATGCCAAGTCCTCAGACTCTTCATGGCCAGCAAGATGGTAAGCCTTTCAGATCGAAAAAACAAACAAACAAACAAATAAAACAACAAAAACTAACAATGAGTATAATATTTGAAATGATAACTAGCTATTAACTCTAGCGTGCACTTATCTATCTGTTTCTATTGAGACTTTTCTCGGTGTATTCAGGTTATATCATCCACTTTATTATTTTTGGATTCAGGTGCTGTGTTCAAAATTAAGGTGTTAGACTGATTTATAAACAGATATCAGTTATAAAATCCAAACTTACCCATGTTTTGTTCCCTGAACTTAAAATGTGTGTTATATCAATGAAATGCAATATCCTGTGATAATATTAATATTTTCTAGCTTTGGTTTCTTGGGCCATCATTTTTATGTTTGAACTAAGAGTTTAAAGGTGATCAAAAGATTGATTTGTGTGCTTTTCTTTTACCTAAATGACAAGTTGCAAATAAAAATTGCTGGACATTAAAGGACAGTTCTACCAGAGTGATTTTGATAAATAAGAAAACTTTTTTTTGGTGATTTTGAGCTACTTTATTTAACTTTTAAGGAAAAAAAGATCATGATATCTTATTTCTGGGTTTATTGAAGATTCCTGAATCATCCCATTGTTCTTGATAGGAAGAAAGTTGGTTATATATAGAGAGACAGAGTGGCTGTGATAATTAACATTTTAGATCTAATATTTTCAGCATTCTTTATAGATTTTTGTATTTGTAAATATAAAATTATGCATAGAAGTACAGGATAATTGTGGGTGGAAATTAAGGTTTATAAATAAAAGGAAATTGGTCAGTGTTATTCAAAATTAGTTTATTATTTCTATAATTAGCAAGTTCACATAAATTTTTGATTATATAGTTTTGTCCCTATATTTCTAGATGGGGGGAAAAGCTTTCCTTGCTTTCTCTGACAATTGCTACTAAAAACTGGTTGCAAAAGATTGCTATATTTTTAGCTGCTATTTGTGTTCTATGTTGACAAGGCTTATGAAATTCCTAGTTTTAAGCATATAAAAAGACCAAAAAAGGGGGACTTTACTTTTTCTCATTTCAGAGGAGTCTAAAAGATGTTGGCGTCCTTGTTCAAATGAGTTATGAGAAAAGAAGTAGTGCATTATTGGTAACTTTCAGATTCTATGTTACTTGCTTCATCATGGAATACCTATTGTAATAGAAAGGGTGTTTATTTGTGAATATTATAAGAATGAAGTTCTTCTAGTTTAGATATAAATGATCTCTTTTCTATTAAAACACGAGTGGAAATTCCTCAGACTTTGTTTTTTTTTTTTTTAATGGGAATTATATGGCATTAGGATGATAGAATAATTGAAATGATTTTAGTTATATATATGTCACTGTATTCATTTATTTGTTTATATATTTTACCTGGTTATAACCTCAGCATTTTTAGTCTATAACTTTGGAAAATATAAATTGAGGAGGATGTCTCATCATTAAAATTCATAGTTATCTTGATCAGAATTGCCAACTATGGGTCTTTGTCTAGGACACAGCTGTTGTAATATAAATCTATATTGATTTTAATAAAACACAGTAGAATAATTTCAAATACTAAGAAGAAAGCACTTTCTCTTGATATGTGGATGTATGCTATGAGGATAATGACATATCTAGTGTTCCTTCTCCAACCTAGGCCTATTTCTCACACTCATCATTGAATTGTTTTTTTGCAATGATCTCTCTGCTACATCAGAGTTTTCCCCACCCTAGTGGACTGTTAATATCAGCATACAAACATATAATGTAATAAATACCCTCTTTAAAAAGCCCTCCATTAATTCTGTCTTAGTCTGTTTGTGTTGCTGTAACAAAATACCTGAGACTGGGTACTTCATGAAGAATATAAATTTATTTCTTGCAGTTCTGGAGCCCAAGATCTTGGAGTCCAAGATCTAGGCACTGGCAGGTTCGTGTTCAATGTCTGCTGAGGGCCTGGTCTCCCCTTCTAAGGTGATACCTTTTAGCTGCATCCTCCAAAAGGGAGGAACACTGTGTCCTCACGATGGAATAGACAGAAGGAACAAACAAGAGCTGAACTGCCACTGTCAAGCACTTTTATAAGGGCACTTCATACTTCATGAGGGTGGAACCCTCATGAGTCAATCACATCCTAAAGGCCACACCTCTTAATACTGTTGCATTGGGAATTAAGCTCAGCATGACTTTTGGAAAGGACAAAAACATTCAAACCATAGCAGATCCCATCGTGTCCCTCCATTCATTGCCCTGTTTCTCTGCAACCACTCCTGCAGTACATTTTACAGTGAATTCATTGGAAGAGTTGTCTCCTCATTTCCACTTTGTCATCTCTACTCTTTCTGGCTCATCTTAGGTAGTCTTACATCCTTGCCATGCCACTCACTTGTTCTTGTAAAGATCTTCAGCCGGCTTCATGTTGCCTCATTCATTGATCAACCCTTCCTCTTCATCTACTGCCACACTAATATTGAAGGACAATGCTCCCTTTATTTTCTTACAGGCTTTCTGTCTCATGTCTGTGGGCTCCTTTTCCATACTCTGTTCTGTGGGTATTGGAGTGCAGTTCTTAACTCCCTATTCCTTATGCTTACTTTCTAGATCACATCTAATCAAGTTGCTTTTGATACCATTTGTACGCAGATGAATCTATTTCTCTAAGCCCTGACATCTTTCCTGAGCTAAGGACTATCTTCCTTTACCTATTTACTAATTGTCAACATTCTTCAGAGGACACATCACTGCATGAAACCACATTATTTTTCTCACTTATTAGCTGTTTCTCTTCTAGAATACAAATACCATATTAAATAATGTGTCTTCTCATGCTTTCCATTTTCCTTTCATTTGCTCTTTTTCAGATAGTTTTTCAGTGCTCCATCATTTAAATGATTAAAATATAACTTCTTACCATGATTATAACTTGTAACATGTTTTACATATTTTCCTTCTTTCTTCTCTCCTTTCCCCTGATAATGGCACTTTCCTAGGTGACTCATATTGACAACCTACTGTATAATCCCTCGTTTTCTCTGTATACACACACATATACTCAGAAGATTTTGTCATTATTATTTTACAAAAATAGTACCGTGACATATATGCTGTTCTGTATGTTGCTTTACTCATCCAACATTATCTTTCTTTTAGAGCTTCCTATATGCTGAGATGTATATATAATTGTCAGCATATAAAAGAGGCATGGTTCCTACCTTCATGTGACATACAATCTAAAGGAATAAAATTATATATGATACCATTCAGTTTGATTAGCTTTCATCTAACTGATATGGGGAAATTTCTGCTTCCATAAAATAAGTATTTATACTAGTAAAACTTTTAGCATATGTCTATCTTTCTCAGATTATTGAGGACTCTGGGAGCTAGGCCTAGCCAGCCCTGGGTATATTGCTTTCTTGTGGATGACATGCATTAATCTTTGGGAGTGGTCAGAAGGTAAGGACTTATGATATAACAAATCCAATTTTGGGCGAGAATTTCAAATATATCCCCAATCTAGGGTAGTGTGGAACATGGTTTCTCAACCTTTGCACCATTGACACATAACTCCTTGTTGTGGGGGGATGTCCTGTGCATTGCAGCATGTTTAGCAGCTTCCTGGCTTCCACCTACTACATGCTGGCAGCACCCTTCCCCCTAATTGTGGTGAATTAAAATATCTTCAGGCATTGCAAATGTCTCCTGGGGGCAAAACCACCTTAAATTGAAAGCAACTGGTATAGATAGGGAATAAGAGTCCATGTGTGAAGCCAGTATGATAGGGATTGAAGAGACAAATGGAGAAAAGTTTGGAAGTAGAGGTTGGAGACAAGTCTAGGAAGCACTGGCCAGTGCCTTTCTGCAATGTTGCAAACGTTCTGTAATTACACGATCCAATATGGTGGTTATTATCCATATTGTAGCTATCGAGTACTTGAAATAAGGCTAGTGTGAATCAGGAAGTGTTATAATTTTATTTAATTTTAACTAATGTTAATTCAAATTTAAATAGATACATGTGACTAGTGTCTACTGGTTCAAATAGTGTCGATCTAGATCATTATTTCATTTTTCTGGGTAGTTAGACTCCTTTCTCTGCATCCATAGATTGAATGTGTCTGAAGACTTTGGAAAAATTGTGGAAGAAACTCCTATTTTAATAGTTGGCTGAAACCCCAGTTCAATATATTCAAAATCTAAACAACATTTTAAAAGTTAAATTAAAATTTTCTATTTTTAATATTGAGAGATTAAGGTATTATTTAGAGAAATTGAAGTAGGATATTATGATTTTTATGAATCGTTCACAATTATAACAGGTAGATATAATAATGTCTTTATGAGGCACCATATAAATCAGAAAGCAAAAGAACATTTTTTCAATTTTCATTTCAGTATAGTTATAGAAAATTTTGCAATTTACTCATAAAATATCAAGGGAAAGAAGGAATATAAAATATGCATCATTTTAGAAATATATGTATATTATATATATTGGTAAAAGGGAGAAAAAGAAGAAAAATATCTTGCTGTAGGCTGGATAATTAGGTAAAGGTCAAGTAGATACAAACCCAAAGGGAGAATTTGTAATGAGAAAAATGCTTCAAGATTAATGTGCAATATTTAGTTTCTTTAGCTTTTTTTTTGAGTTGATAATGCTTCCCTAACTCACTAAAAACATAAAAGTAGAAAAAATGCATATGAACTGGAAATCTTTGCATAGGAAATATTTTACTGTCATTTTTGGTTTTTACGAAACTATGTTAAGCTATTTACTTTTTTTTTTTTTTTACAGACTTAAAGGAATGCCTTTAGGTTAAGATAATTTAAAGGTTTTATATACATTTGATTTGCTCATGAAAGCAATAGGTCCTTGAAGGTGTTCTGGACTATAAGGAATTTATTATGAAGGAAGAAGCTTTGCTATGCGATGGCTGTGGTTCAATGAATTTCAAAAAAAACATCCCCCTGACCAAACAGCTAAAGGAATCCCGTATTCAAATATTCACTGGTTTGTGG